TAGTCTCGCTAACGGCTTGACCGATTTGAATAATGTTTTTTTTTATTTAGTTCGCTATATTACGGGGATGGTTTATAAATAAAAAAAATAGGGAAAACTTGAAACAACAACTAAAAAACTAAAAAATTTGCGAAAGTTTGTAATTAATTTCGCTCTGCGATTCTAACTATTTGCCTGAACACTGTCACTGTTTTCCCCTTTTGTTGTAGATGCTACTTGAGCATTAACTGGTATAATACCAATTGAAGTATTAGCATCATCTAGAAAAACTAGAAACATTTTGATTTGATATTCAAGTAGATACTTCGTATTTCGAGTATGAGCATCTACTCAGTTTTATTCATACCAACCATTGTCAAAAATTTGGTCGAACGTTGTTTCGACAGAGCTTCCTTCCCACCAAAAGTATAATGAAACATATTCACTATTCAGCATTTTCGAGTTGAGTTTTTTCTTCACACAATTTTGTGATGACCTAATCAACATCTACAATCAACACGTATATCACCTTGGATTGAAGCAGTGTAATAAGTACTGTATTGTATTCCCAAAATTATCTGGGAAAATGGAGTGAGTCGTTGCATCAATAAATAAATATTTTGATTAACAATTTGCCAAGCTTACAATAACTTTAAAACGTCTGCAAGATATCAAAATATTCATTTCTGCAATTCTTGAGTGATTTAATAAAATAAATTGACTGATCAATTATTTTTTTTTAGTTACCCTAAAAAAGCAAATCTAAAAAATTGGTCTAAAAAGTTTAGACAGTACTTCCCTCGCTGTCAGAAACGTGACGACTGCATGCCTATTATGATTTTTTTTTCTCATTACATTTTTGTAGCGGGGCATTTAAAAAAAATCTGCGATGACGTCATCAACATTTTTGCAAATACACGTATATCAGTTTGGACAAATGTAGTATAATGCTAAAAATAAAAGTACCTACTGTATTCCCAAATTTTCGGGAAATTGGATTGGCTCGTCTTGAATATTGATTTATGTAGGGTAGATCTTAGTTAGGTTGGTATTGTACGTTGGTACTGTTGACAGTTGGTTGGAAGATTAATAAAGAGACAAGCATGGCGAAAGACGCCGTAACGGATATTAATTAATACCTGGTCCCCTGCAAATCCAACCACCACAATTTATAATCCACCAATTGTAATTAATTTGCTAATCAAGAGTGATATCAAATTCCTACATTGTCCTAATTGTCATCAAGCAGGTTTAAGACAGAAAGTACTTAGTATGTATTTTACCACTAAATTTACGAAAGGTAATAATTTCAGAAACCAATTTCAACATTGTTGTTTGTATGAAAGGTCAACAGAAACGTAAATCGTTGTGATAGATTTTTTTCTTTAGATCTATGAAATTTGTCCCTATCTAAGTAACATTTGAGTTTTAAAGAAAATGAACTAAGAAGACGCAATAACAACGAGCCATTTTAACATAATCACCATCAAGGGTCCCCAAAGTCTTGCCTTCCTAATCACGAGTTTTTTTTCTTTTTTCTTTTTTACGTCATCAGCTGTGTGTCATTTTCGCATTTATTTCTTTTTTTTTGTACGAAATGAATTTTGAAAGCTATACAACTCTCCAAACAAATTTTATTTACATTTACTTACGCGATTATGCGAGATTCGATATTTACTAATTTCACTGGTCTAAAATATGAAACTTTTTTTACTCATTAGAAATGAAAATATAGGTTCGAATATTTCCAAAATACGAACACGTATTACTAGAGGGGTGTCGATTGTCTCGATAACGTGACGCGACTATTGTGGATCAAGAATCCGCTTGTACAACTTAGTAAGGTCCACCAATTCTTTTTCTTGACGATTTTTTGGTGGTAAACTAGTGTTTTCTTGTTTTCTGATTGCCACGTTATTACTCTTACATCCCCTTTAAGCCATGAGAATCCGATAATAATAAAAAAAAATTATATTTTTATTTATTTATTTATTTGACTATACTTTGTAAGATTTTTAAATTAATAAAAATAATTATCCAAAGAATTTGATATCATTCTTGATTAGCAAATTAATTACATTTCGTTGCCATCTTAGAGCGCTGGTAATTAGGACAGAGCGAGTATATCAAAATCATATTCAAAACTATAATTGATCATATAATATGTGTGTATGCACTCTGCATTACACGAATTTGTTATTACTATACCCGACCATATAAGAGAAAAAGAGATAGCTTTATTTTTGGGAAGTTATAAGTAACGAATTAAATAATTCAATATTTTTATGTACTGTACCGTAAACAACTTTTTCTCAACGGTCACACTGCCTACGACTCTCAGTTTGTTTTAGGGGGCGGGTCGTAGGTCGGTCGCAACTCGCAATATTTTCAGTAACTATAGTCGATTTTATGTGATGTGACAAGGAGTCTGGTTAGAGGGCGCCAGGTAGTTAGATTACATGAAATATAGTGGCTATAAGTACACTAAAATCAACTCACTGAACTAACAACTGCCATTTTAGTTTCAAATAAGTGATAAATATTTTCAAAAACAGAACTATTTCTGATATAAATAAGAATGGACTCAATGAATTTAAATAAAATAAATGATAATAATTTCTAATTAGTAGAAAGATCTGACCTTGGTTATTTCTCCAGAGGTGGTGGCGCTTGTTCGGGGGTGTCTGAGTGAAAATTGGAGCAGGGCGATCGAGCAGCGTGCGGAAAAAAAAATAACATAGGCTCCAAATGGCTCAGAACTGTCAGAATTGGGAACCTCCAAAAATCACAGTCATGCAAAGCATAAAAATGGTGCCGTTAAAGTAGCGCTTGAACTCGACAAAAGTGTGGATCGGCATCTACTCCAGTAACTCCAAAAAACCCTAAAATTCGTGGTCAATTTAGCGAGACGAAAAAGAAAATTAAATACTACCTCGTGTAGTGAGGACTTTGTCCGCAAATGAAACGTTGGGCTCCTTTCTGCCGGAACCCGAGAACGTTCTGCCGCAGCAACGATCAACTCGCTTCTGCCGTTGAAAAAAGTACGAAAAAGTGTCCGTCGACGACGACAAAAACGAAACGGATAAAGAGCCGATAGTGAGGATTATAATAACACGCTATGTTTCTTCGATCATATACCAGATTACTACTAAATTAATTAACTTAAACACTACAGAATCTGGTCTATGCTTAATAAAGCATACCAGGTAGACTCTACTATGGAGAATAAATTGAATCGCAACGAAGATGACAACCCTCGAAACGTTGTATCAGACACAGAAGGTAATCTAGAAACTAAGAAAAACATTGATAAAAAGAATGAATATTCAAAAAACAAGGAGCTACAGACAAACACGCAACCTAAAAACGTATTGGTAAATAATGTCAAAAAACCTAATACGGAAAACTCAAAAAGTCGTGTTACTGGTACAGCTAAAGTAAGCGATGGTGGTTTTAAAGCGGCTAATAGAAGGGGCTGGCTTTATGTAGGCAGGGTACGAGGAAGAGGCTAGAGATGGGCAAAATCGTTCCACGCGTGGAGCGCTACAACCGCTACCGCTACAAGAAAATAGCGCTCCAAGTAACTAGTTACTTTGGAACGTATTCATCACGAGTGGCGTATGAGTAGGACGTTTCCACTTGTCCGCTTGGAACTTGGAACAAATATTCCAATCTCAAGTACCAATATGTAGCGAACGGACATTCTGGACACAATAAACAATTAGGACGGGCACTCCACTTTCATTTTAATAAAGAAAATAATAAAATAAACAAAACTACAGTTATTTTTATAGTCTTGTTTTCGCAACTTTCTGTGTTAATTCCCAATCTTCTACTAGACTGAGATTTTACAAATTTTTTCGGTTCCTATTGAAATACATATATTCAATTAAAACTTATTTATAAACTATTTTATACCTAAGCTTTTATATCTTTTCTGATAATGAGTCATTTATATCGACCGTCGCATTCTTATAAAAAATTATCGAAGATGCAGCGTCTTTGATGCCGCCCTCAAACAAAATACAACACTTGCTGATTTTGCCGATTGCTTTATGATAAAACCGCTTTGCTTTTTATTTTATCTGTTTATTTATATTGTTAAACCTTTACTTTTTTACTAATTTCCGTCCCGTAGCTCCCGTCTAAATATCGTTTCAAGTTCCAAGTGGAACGCAGAGTGGAACGTGTTACTTTTGTCGCGAGGAGCGTTGCAGTCCGCTACTCGATGGTAGCGCTACAATGGAACGGTTCCTACAGTAACGACCCATCTCAAAGTAACTAGTTACTTTGGAACGTATTCATCACGAGTAGCGTATGAGTACGACGCTTCCACTTGTCCGCTTCATTTCAACTTGGAACAAATATTCCAATCTCAAGTACCAATATGTAGCGAACGGACATTCTGGACACAATAAATATTGACAACAACAATTAGGACGGGCACTCTACTTTCATTTTAATAAAAAAAAAAATAATAATAAAATAAACAAAACTACAAATATTTTTAGTCTTGTTTTCGGAACTTTCTGTGTAATTCCCAATCTTGGAAGCTTTTCTACTGGACTGAGATTTTACAATTTTTTTCGGTTGCTATTGAAATACATGTCTTCAATTAAAATTTATTTATAAACTATTTTATACCTAAGCTTTTATAGTTATCTTTTCTGATAATGAGTCATTTATATCGACTGTCGCATTCTTACAAAAAATTACCGTCCTCAAACAAAATGCAACACTTGGTGATTTTGCCGATTGCTTTATGATAAAACCGCTTTGCTTTTTATTTTATCTGTTTATTTATATTGTTAAACTTTACTTTTGATCTGCGTTGCATACATTTTGTTTTTCTTTTTTTTTTTTTCATAAATATTACTCCTATAAAATAAATACCTACTTATAAACGTTTCCTGATATCTTTTTTGTGTTGATAAACACACAATTATTTTAATGACAGAAAGATTATTCTCTTTTTTTTCAGTTCCCAAGCGCTCACTATTTGTGTTTCTTGTAACGTTCCGGACAAACGTGTTTTATGATTTCGTTCCTTGAATTTCCGTCCCGTAACTCCCGTACAAATATCGTTTCAAGTTCCAAGTGGAACGCAGAGTGGAACGTGTTACTTTTGTCGCGAGGAGCGCTACAGTCCGCTACTCGATGGTAGCGCTACAGTGGAACGGTTCCTACAGTAACGACCCATCTCTTCAAGAGGAGCGGTTGTGGCTGCTCCGTCAGGAAGGTTTGTAACTTTTTGTTTGTATTTTTTTTATAATTTTCTCTTTATAAATTCTTGTAATTTTCATTTTATTTCTTTAAGGTTGTTAGCGATGATTAATGGTGTTTTTGTATTATGATTATAGGTTTCGATGAGGTGGAAATAGAATTCTTTTTCGGGGCCTCCTCCGAAGATGAAGACGGGGAGGCACAGGGCACGTTTACGCCCGAACGTATCCAGGAGATTTATCGGGAGGCGCGACGTCTCCATTTTGCAAGGGGGCGCCGCGCCCGCGGTGGTCGCCGGCGCTCAGCAGCACCTCGTAAGTATCCTCTTTTTGTGAGTGCGGTTGGTTAAATACTTTTCGACTTTTGACATTAATTTATTCAAGTCATGGTTGGTAGTCCTTTTGTTAATATTCGAGTTCAATTACGCAATTTCAGTAAAGCACACGTCCGTCGTTCTTTTTACTTTGAAGAGTGATTAAAATAAACTATTTCGAACAAAATTCTGTACCGTCATTTTAGAAATAATATTTGTGAGTTGTTGGATAATAATTTTTGTTTTTTTTTTATCGTTCTGTAAATTTTTTGAGTGATCGAACATTTGCACTTTATGTGGAAGTTTTAAGCAATAACTGTAAATGTAAATTACGTTCTGAAAAATTTTGAAGTTTGTTGTGCTTTGTTCTCTTAGTTCTGTAACTTAATTGATTTCTTAATAACCTTGTTAACTGATTATTTTTCTTTTTGTTTCAGAGGCGACCCAGCCATCGGCCCCCGTAACTGGCCAACAGGACGCGAAACTGGCACCTGAGTAGGCTAGTTAGTTATATATTTTTTGTTTTGAAAAGAAATAAAATTTCTGCTTTAATTTTACTTTTGTGTCTTTGTTCACTCTTCTTTTTTTTGTGATTTGGAAACGTACAATTTTTCTGTAAAAGGTATGGTGTTTACAAAATCTTTTGTTGGGTACGACCTCTTAATGTGAGGGATCGCATTGCGAATCTGCACCTTGCGAGCTTTCGTACAGGTCACGGTGTATAATAAGTTAGGTGTTACGACGAAGCGTATTCACCGTGCATCGACTTGACGCCGGTTTAGTCACGATGAGCGGTCGAGAGAGACAGACAGCGGCGGCCTGTAACCTCTCACTTAGATCTGTTTAGCAGCGTTTGGCGGGCTTTTTCCCTCTCTAGGTGTGACAGATTTTGCTAGGTTTTCTATGCGATTTCTTACTTGTTTTTTGATTTATCAATAAAAATGGGTAAAAAATGTGTTGTGCCTAATTGTTCTAGCGAATACAATAGTAATCCCGAAAAAGTGTCGGTGTTTCGGGTACCTAAAGACAGATTACTGGAATGGCACTTTTATTGCAGTAGTGAACTGCTGCTTTTGAACAACACTTTGCACTAAAAAATACTGGTCGTCGCTATAGTAATAGTAGGCATTTTATGTTGAATTTTATTTTTACTTAAAACAATAACTTCCTTTTTATCGGTTATGTGTTATGTTTAACATTCAAGGAACAGCATTTATGTTTATTTTCAGAGGGTTTTTGAATGCGATATGTATTTTTTCTTTATTCCACATAAACTATATTTATTGCAGAGATTTTTCGGCACAATTCGACAAGCAGGTTGTGCCAATGGACATCCCTTATCTACAACTCTTTGCAGCTATACCGAATGTTATCGGTTTATAAATTATTAAAACCTCCGAAATTTGGTAATTGCACACAGATGCAGGAAAATAGTATGCAAATCATTCGTTATCATTTAATTACTCCAAAAATATTTTTGAAACAAATACCAGAATGCGGGAAAAATCATGTTGAGAAAATAAAAAGGAAAATTAATAGATATTTACGATATGTGTATCGTAATGTGGAATTTTACGATACGCGATGGAAAAATTGTCCAACGAGCCGAAGGCGAGTTGGATAATCCATCAAGGATCGTAAAGAAATATTACGATACAAATATTGTACAACGTTTTATCTACTTTCAATAATTTTCATAAAAATTAACACAGATGTTTTTGTAATTTTTTAAATTGTGTTTATGGAGAAAAAATAAGGCGGCTAAATTAGTAACCGTAGTTACTGATTTGTTTACGTTTTTCACAAGCGTTCAGTGAAAGCAATTTATGTGCAAAAATTAGTGATTCAGAGGATAATTTGCCTTCCGATATTGAAGTGGCTACTCAATCTGTCATCGATACGTTAGTTCCTGGTAAATCTAAAGAACGTTACGAGATAGCGTACAAATATTTTGATGAATGAATGGAAGTTAAGAAAATTGGTGACGTTTCTGAACAAGGTGATGCATTCCTATTTTGCTGAACAAGCAGAGAAGTTAAAACCATCCTCCTTATGGTGCCGATATTCCATGTTGCGAACCCTGGTGTTGATTACGAAGAATGTTGATATTTCTGAATATCATCAGGTTGTGGCTTTCTTCTCGGAAATCAGAAGGTTCCCGACCCAGAAAATCGTTTATTTGTTCCAAAGAAGAGATAAATCAATTTCTTAAGAAAATGAATGATAAGGATTTCTTATTTTTGAAGGTAAATTGCAACTCATATTGATAAAAAACAATCTCAAATTTATATAGTTTCAGGTTGTTTTGATAGTCGGAGTGTTTGGTGCTTGTCGACACGAGGAGATCACAAATTTTACGACACGAGACGTTAGAGCCGAAAAAGAATTTAGATACAGATTCACCGATTAACAAAATAGACGAACAACTATTTGAAGATGTCACTACAACTAAAATTGTTGACATCATTTATTACTTAGCTGGATTTGTCGCAAAAAATTGTACAATACTTCAAAATGTAATATTTGCCGTGAACAGTTAAATATATAACAAAGAGGATCCATGTTCTAGTACATCTGAATTTACTAGTACAAAATCCAGGGGGTGGTTAAACCATCCAGATTTGTTAATGTTTAATATGTTCCGATGGTGGAAGGGATACTTATGAAATATATCTATTTTGTGGATGTATTCGATGCAACAATTGAAGAGCTATTCGTAACAAAAATTTTTATGACTATTTACTTTCCTTTTTCTTGTGAAGAGCATAGAATGGAAATATTTTCAAAGGCAATATATTTTTACACAATTATGCAAATTAAACAATTTTATAAACAGGAACAAGAGAAAACAACCAAGGCATGTGCAGAAAAAAGAAAAGAGTCTCGATTACAGACTACGTAATAATGGTAAATTTTTATTTCTCAAACAGTAAAGCAGATATTGGTTAATGGATATTTTTTAGTTGTCTTGTGAAACGAACAGAAGTGAGTGAAACTAATATAATATGTGAAGACGAAAAGAACTATCTTTAACAACGAGTTTACATTCATCTTTTTAAATAAATTATTATTTTAAAAATGTTTAAAGTTTTTATTTTAATACAACGGATAATTCATTTTGATGATTTTTGGACCTAAATGGCTTTAATTCCGACAAATACTTCTGCCGTCTCTTTCCCGTCAGTGCGATTAAATGATGGCCGCCCTCTTCTGTTTCTCTCACTCCAAATCTGTGACTAGTTGGGGACACGTTTCACGCGCTCGTCGGAACACCTAACTTATTATACACCGTGGTACAGGTGCAGTGTGGTAACTTCTGAGTGCTAGCTTGTGATGCGTGTTAAATTGAAGTGAAATTTCTAGGTGTTAACAGCTGTTTTGATGACACTCTTTGTGATAATTATGTTGCGATTCTTTTGTGCATATGACGACACGTTGTCTCCCGATAATCGAAACAGTTTTTATATACTCAAACTCAAGGTTTCTATTTAAGAATAATTTGGATTTATACGCGCAATTGACAAGTTTTTTCCACTAAAATTAAACTCTACGTGGGGTATCTGGTATTTCTTGAGCCAATAGGGTTTAGCGTCGGTTAACCCTTCTACCAATTAGGCGTTTATTGAAGCGAGAGAACACTTTTCGGTGATAATAAGAATTTTGGATAATTCGTAAAGACGTTCGTATCTGTTCATAGTTGCTAGAGTGAACGCGGCCCGTAATTTTCAAGTAAAAGATTGATAGTAAAATTTCCAATGGGTAAGTAAAATTAGTGACTTTACTTGATATTAAAATTATTCTTTGGCGATTATGTGTCCGTCTGTTTGTATTCCGAAATTTTATTGTTATGAGTAAATTTGATTTCTAGGTGATCCGCGACGATCTTTTAACGGATTTTCCGCGCTAGGTTCGGACGAAGAACTTGACGTTTTTGGCGATAGCGAACCGTTTTACCAATTGGCGGCGCAACTTCGCGCTGCTGCGATGGTGAACGATCACGCAGATTCGACGACCAGTGGGCCCTCGACATCGCGACCCCCTGCTGAACAACCGGTGATAGCCGATGGTCAGCAAGCCCCAATAGCGAGACCAGTGATCACGGCGCCAGCGATGCCCTTGCCGAACTTTCAAGCGACATTTGGTCCACCGCCACCTGTTACAGTGCTATATCCGCCGCGATTTGAAGTGATTTCCGGACAATTTCTGGGAATTCCTCCGATCTGCACGTCGATTGTTTTCTGCCCCGAGTTGAATTGTCGCGTGGGGGTGATTGGTTATGGGGGACGTTTGCTAATTTATATTTCCTACCAGTAGAGTATGTTCTGTTTACATAATAAAATTTGGAAAATGTGTCTCTGCATTTTTACTGGTAGTTTGCTCGTAATTGGTTGCGAATTCAAAGGGCCGTTACAAAATTAGCTCGTTAGAGCTCGAAATGTGGGAGTGATAAAAACTTTTTTTACATGAAAATTTTGATTATAAAAAAATGAGAAAAAATTTTGACGAAAGAGTGTAACACAAAATGTTTCTAAGAGTTAATATAAGCAACGTATTTTAAAAAATTTTGGTAGGTATGAACTGGTTTTTACTTTTTTATTCTCAATTTGCGTTTTACTCCGCTTGCACTAGATAAACGATTACTTTTTATGAACTCACTTTTCTGGAAATATTAACCGTAATTTTAATTTGGCATAAATAAACTGGTTTTAGATTTAAAATATTGTACAAACTCCGACCCTCCATAAAATAAAACATAAAAATGCCTCGATTTTACAAAAAGTATTCCCAAAGTTACGGACTTGTGATTTTCTAAACTTAAAATGGAATTTCTGTGACTGATAGAAAATCTCGACAATTTGCTTTTCTGTCTCGTTCAACACCTGTTTACAACTTTATTTTAATTTATTCTTACGAAAATGGTCCGTTTAATGTGATTTAAACCAAAATATTCAGCGCAATAGTCCGAGATGAGTTCGGCGAAACTCTGTTAAAATTAGTCGCGCGGCGAACGAGCTTACGCGGAAATAAGCGCGTTGACACGACACGGAGGGTCGATAAGATGCCCACGACAGTTATCGCGGTGAAATTACCACTGAATTTATTTTTCTTAGCCGTCATTTCGCAAGAGTTAAAGCTACATTAATTCTACCGTATTTTCTAGGGTGTCTTACTTTGGATTTTTCTGATTTTTATGATTTTTATGCGATTTTTACAATTTTTCAAAAAAAATTTTTTTTTGTTAATTCATTATTACAACTTCCCTTTTTTGCAATTTAGCGAATAATCCTACCGACTGCGCCATTTTGTCGTGCCCAAATAGTTTTGACCGCGGCCGAGCTTTTGGACACTAACAAAATTATTTATTTGGGTGTAGGCCCATTTCCTTGGAAATGGAAGAGCTAAACTGCATGTAGGGGAAGAGGTAATAATTAAACATATATAACATTTTTATACGTATATTAAAAGAAAGCATTATAAGCATGTCAAAAGAATAATCGAGTAAATGTGTAAATAATCAACAGAAAAATAAACAGAAAATAAATTCACACACATAACACGAAAAAAAACAAAACAACATGCAAAACTATCTTCTAAAGCGCTACGCAATTATATTCCACTAATAAAACTCTTAAAATCTATGAACATAACCCACATTTTTAATTAATAAACTTAATCCTAGAAAAAATCAGCATGCAAAAAGACTAAAAATTAATTCGGTAAATCCTTAATTAAGTGCAATACCTTCTAAACAATATTAATATTACGACCATGATAAATAACCAAAAAAAAAAAAAACTACTAACTACTAAATGGAATAATTACTTAATTATTTAAATAAATGGCGATTGGGCATTTATATATTAATTAAATCATAAAAACAACTAAAATAATAATAAAACCAATAATTCAGTGGATTCGAAGAAATCTCCACTGATTATAAGAACAACTAAAATAACGGGTTAAAATCATGCACTTAAATCTACGACAGCTTATGAATATAAACATGTAAAAAGAGAGATAAATAAGTCTTTACATACATCGATTAGCTAAATATGCCGAGCACAACAATTGTTCACGAGAAAAATTGATGGTTACAGGACAGTTAGATATATGTAAAAATAAACAGTCATAATTTATACATGCAGTTAAACATTGGGAAATTAGTAGATATCATAAATGCGCTAAAATACAGTGAGACGATAAAAATAAAATATAATGTGAGGTTTCCAAATACTATAGCAAAATAATCAGAGAACGGAGTCATATTTAAACTGCAAAAATTCAATATAAAATAATTGTTCGGTCCAGGCAGGTAAACCGAAGGAGAAGGGGTGCAACAGACTCCACCCTCTCACCCACCACCACCACTTGTAAATATGTACATTTAAATAGTAGTAGATTCGAATAAACCATCAAGCAAAAAGGTCGTGTCTCACTGAAACTATATTTATAGTTTCAACAACATCATTTTGGTCATCCATTGTGACCCCATCATTTTTTGGTCATCCATTGTGACCAACATTTGTGGTCACCCATTTGTGATCGCTGGTCCTTCGAGCAAATACAAAAACCTTCCGTTAGGTCACCCACTTATGACCTAACATTTGGTACTACGAACCGAATCGTCACAATTTCCGTCAGGTCATCCACTTATGACCAAACAATTGGTCCTTCGAGCCGGATACAAAAACCTTCCGTTAGGTCACCCACTTATGACCTAACATTTGGTACTACGAGCCGGATCGTCACAATTTCCGTCAGGTCACCCATTTATGACCTATCATTTGGTCCTTCGAGCCGGATCGTCACAATTTCCGTCAGGTCACCCAATTATGACCTAACATTTGGTCCTTCGAGCCGGATCGTCATCCAGTGTTACGTAATCGAAGTGTCGAAGTAAAGTGGCTCAGCATCAAGTCAGACAAGTGTGATCTGAGCTGTATTCCGCGGACAACGAGATCCAGGACACACACAAGCGAGGGTACAAGGACGTAAAGGTAGGAATCTATATCTATCAACTTTGTACTGCATTTCCTCATACGCAATAAAAAACATGACTAACGAAACAAACGACGCGTTAAAAACATTAGTAACTAAACGGGGAATAATCAAGGGTTCGGTTACTAGAATTAAAACATTCGTGGATAAATTTAGAGTAGGCGATGATATGTATCAATTAAAAACTAGGCTACCGAATCTCCAAAATGCATTCAAGGAATTTGATGCCATACAGCGGGATATCGAATTATTAAAGTGCGATACCGAGGAACAAACATGCGAGCGCGATGAATTCGAAAATCGGTATTATGATTTAGAAGCAAGGATCCTAAAGTTAATCGAGTCGCGTGTTACAGAACCTATTCCTTCAACGTCTAATACTAATAACGACAATAATCAGGCGCGTTTAAATCCAGTTAAACTGCCGTCATTAGAATTACCCATATTTTCGGGATCATATTTAGAGTGGACAGCATTTTCAGACATTTTCAAATCATTAATCCATGACAGTAGATTATATAGTGATGTTGAAAAGCTGCATTATTTGAAATCGTGCCTAAAGGGCGACGCACATAAAACAATCGAGGCCATTAAAGTATCAGAGGCAAATTACAAATCAGCATGGGACCTGTTAGAAAAAAGGTTCAACAACAAGCGTTTGATTGTCCAAGAACATGTTTTGGCAATCATTAATTCTCCAAATTTAGTCAAAAATTCAGCCGTGGCCATGCGTAAATTATTGGACGACATATTGACGAATATTGCGGAATTAAAAAATGTAGGTATACAAGTTCAACAATGGGACGCGCTAATTGTACCACTTATCACATTAAAATTTGATTTTGTTACAAAGAGGGATTGGGAGTGTACATTGGATACCAATGTTCCAACATTAGAGGAATTAATTACATTTTTGACAAAGAAAACCACATTATTAGAATCGTTAACTGCTGGAGAATCTCAGTCTCATGCAAAACATTCAGTGCATTCAAATTTAAAGAATAATTTCAGATCGTCTAATCATTCTAATAAAGCACCTGTTACGTGTAATGCTACCTTCATTAAGGAAGGACATCAAATTGAATGTTTTTTATGTAAAATAAAGCTAATAAAAAGACTGGAGAATGTACACCTGATGAATACACACGAGCCACTAATGCAATTGTTAAATTATTACAAGGGGTAGAATTTGCCGATGAAATTAAAAACCTCAGCGTTAATAAATCAATTAACAACAACAGCAAACTAAGGAGACTCAATCCTTTTATTGATACGAATGGTATCATACGCGTAGGAGGGCGTTTACGTAATGCTAACTTAAGCTACGATCAAAAACACCCTATGGTATTACCGAAACATCACATAACAAATCTCATTATTAAAGAAATACATGTCGCTCAATTACATGCTGGTCCAACAGCGACCCTTTCATCGGTACGCCTTAGGTTCTGGCCATTAGCAGGTAGAAACCAGGTAAGACAAGTAATCCATAAATGCCTTAATTGCGCTCGGGTAAAACCTATGGAATTTAATCCGATAATGGGAGAACTACCATCAGTTCGGGTAGTTCCAGAGCGACCGTTCGGTAACACGGGAATCGATTTTGCAGGACCTATGCTTATTAAAGATGGTAAAACACGAAATAAGCGAACAGTTAAATCATATATAGCACTTTTTATCTGCTTGTCAACAAAGGCTATTCATCTGGAATTAGTCGGCGATCTAACGGCATCAGCTTTCTTGAGTGCATTGAAGAGATTCATTGCTCGATGAGGTATTGTTAAAAATATTTATTCGGATAATGCGACTAATTTTGTAGGAGCCAGGAATGAACTTAAAGATATTTTTAAACATACTAATTTTGCACTAATTGAACAGCATCTTAGTAAAAGGGAGATCAATTGGCATTTTATACCGGCCAGGGCTCCGCATTTTGGCGGTATTTGGGAAGCGGGGATAAAATCCGTGAAGTACCACTTGAAACGCGTAGTAGGGGAGACTAGGTTGACGTACGAGGAAATGTATACTTTGTTGACGGGTATAGAGGCTTGCTTGAATTCGCGGCCTTTGTGTCCTCTTAGCGAAGACCCTAACGACGAAGAGGTGCTAACCCCGGGTCACTTTTTAATTGGAGCACCGTTAACTGCAATTCCTGAACCAGAAGTTACACACCTACGCGTAAATCGCCTGTCACGGTGGCAGCACACCGAACAGATTCGTCAACATTTCTGGAACCGGTGGTCCCGCGATTATTTACACCATTTGCAGCAGCGGACCAAGTGGCAGCTACAGGGAACAACGGCAGCAAGACCAGGGATGCTAGTGGTTCTCAAGGAGCCAACTCCACCCTTGACCTGGCGGCGCGGCCGCATCGTGGAGCTACACCCAGGGGCTGACGGACACATCAGAGTGGTATCCGTACGAACTGGAGATGTGATTGTGAGGCGAGCGTTACGAACATTATGCTTGTTGCCGTCCGAGTGATCAAACGTTTAACATTAGAGACACTTTCACGGTTGTTTTTTATCTTGTTCCATTCATTTTAATATCATTTCAAGATTAACATTTATTATAATTAGCATGTTACTAAGCTAGGAAATTAATTACATATTCACATGTTCATACAGTAATTAATTTAAGTAGATTGATCCTGCGGTTCAATGCGGGCCGGGATGTTCGGTCCAGGCAGGTAGACCGAAGGAGAAGGGGTGCAACAGACTCCACCCTCTCACCCACCACCACCACTTGTAAATATGTACATTTAAATAGTAGTAGATTCGAATAAACCATCAAGCAAAAAGGTCGTGTCTCACTGAAACTATATTTATAGTTTCAACAACATCATTTTGGTCATCCATTGTGGCCCCATCATTTTTTGGTCATCCATTGTGACCAACATTTGTGGTCACCCATTTGTGATCGCTGGTCCTTCGAGCAAATACAAAAACCTTCCGTTAGGTCACCCACTTATGACCTAACATTTGGTACTACGAACCGAATCGTCACAATTTCCGTCAGGTCATCCACTTATGACCAAACAATAATCGACAGCAAGAAAATTAGAGTAAAAGGTTTCAATTCGGGAACTTCCCAAAAATGCACATAAAATATTCATGTCGCAAGCAAAGAATTAAATCGGCAATTTTGAAGAGATTTTGGAATAATTATAAAAGCAAACGGTAAAAATCAGAAAAATCCTCTCCAAAAACGCACATAAAATATTTATGTCGCAAGCAAAAGAGTTAAATCGGCAATTTACAGAAACATTGGAATAATTATCATAAAAGCGAACGGTAATTTATCGAAAAATAACCAATAACCCAATAATCAAGAACCGACGCAAGGCTAAACGTGCCACCTGCAAACGGGAACATATGGAAGCACTAAAGATTACTTTCGGTGCCGGCGCTAACTGTTCACACCCAACGTAACGAAGAAAACGCATAAATTAAACGCTACACATGTACGATTCGAACTCAAGAACACATGACGAAAAAACGGAAAGCAAGATAAATTATATAAGAATGACTAAAAGCATGGCCGACTTCATTGATATACACTAACGTGTATATACGGCCGTTTCAATTTTTTAAAAATTTGTTCCCGCGTAGTAATCCATGGGTACATAAGCATACGCCACCCACGGCAATGTCTTGAACTAAACTGTCACTACTGTCAGAAATTTTCTTTGGCAATTTTCAAATCCAAAATAATTTTGGGCATGAATTATTATGGTTGTTAATAAAACTAGGTCTTTATAATATGGGAAGAAAGTGTATGATTTGTGGTAATACACAGAATCCACTTTTTGGAATTCCTGCGGAAGTAGATCTTAGAAACAAATGGTTTGAATCACTTTCAAAATTTTGTGGTATTTCATAAAACAAGTTCCTCAAAAAATATTTTATTCGAATTATTTTAGATCTGACCAAGATAAACGATCATACTGTTGTGTGTTCCAAACATTTTGCAACAGAATGTATTGTTAGAAGCGCAAAAAGTACTCGTCTCAATAAACAAGCGGTTCCGTTTATATTCGTATGTACATAAAAATCTACCTACCTCACATAATCTATAAATCTTTGTCATCATTCCAGAATCCTACTGATCCTGACATTTCTAGTACCCAACCAACAAATCCTTTTTTAGAAGACACTCATTCAACTTCCGTTTCCTCATTCCAAATTGCTAATAAGGAAACTAATGTTTCCACATGTGATGATTTAAGTGCAAAGGATAAACAAGAACTTAAAGATCTCAGGTACCACAACAAAGTTTTAAAGCAACAATTGAGTAGAATGAAACGAAGGAATTCTGAATGTTTATCAAAAATGAGAGAGTTAGAAGAAAAAGTAAAAAATTTGGATGCTTTAAAATTAACCAAAATTATAGAAGACGCAAACAACGCAGATGAAAAGTCAATATTTCTTTTGGACTTGATAAAAAATCACTATAAAAAAATACTTAGGTGGTCAGAAATGTCTCTTCGTCTGTGTACTGTCTGGAGATTTTGTTCGCCTAAAGGTTACAGATTTTGCCACAATAACTTACTAAAACTGCCTTCAAAATCGACTATATCCAGATTCCTTGGAGACTTTCATGGTCAAAATAAGCTGATCCAAGAGCGATTGTGTGCAGAAATTGGTCAATTAAAAAAGTCAGTTGAAAGGATCTGCTCCTTAATAATGGACGACATGTCCATAAAAGAAAAAGTTCATTACTGTAGGGCAGAAGATCGAATTTATGGCTTAGAGACAACAAGTTCTACTCGTGTTGGAACTAAGCCAAAAGTAGCCAACAAGATGCTTTGTTTTGTGGTGCAGGGATTGAGTACTAGATATACAATACCAGCAGGGTATTTTTTCCACTCGTCGTTAACAACTCAGGAATTATATTTATTAACAAAAAACATTTTACAACTTCTGACAAACTGCGGCTACATTGTGATTAGATTTGTTACAGACAATATTTCAACAAATGTCGCCCTCTTTAAAAAATTTGGAAACGGATCACTGAAAAATTCCATTAATCATCCCATTCTGGAACATATTCCACTATTTTTGAGTTTCGATTTCTGCCATGCTCTAAAAAATGCACGAAATTTGTTTTTAGACCATGATATGTATTCTTCTCAAGGCAAAATTTCATCATGTTACCTCAAATTATTGTATGATTTGCAGAAGGGAATGCCAGTAAAGCCTGTCAGATATTTAACAAAGAAGCATCTATTTCCATCAAACTTTGAAAAAATGAATGTCCTAAGAGCAATCCAAGTTTTTTCACCTACTGTAACATCTTCTTTAAAATTTCTAAAAGCTGCAGGGGACGATCGCTTTGTAGACGCTGATGCCTCTATATTCTATATGGAAAACATGTACCATTTTTTTCAGGTGCATAATGTTTCAAGCAGAGATCACTATCTTCGTTCACTAGATAGCAGTATTGCACCATATGTGCATATTTCAGATGAACGTCTTGACTGGTTAAATGTCACATTTCCAAAGTATATTGACCATATCCAGAAGACTTCTGTAGATGTTGGATTTAAAGGTCTTACTAAGGAAACAGCTCATGCGTTACAATTCACGGCAAAAAGCACATACCTCTGTGTAAATTTTTTGCTAAGCCAGGTTGGCTTCTATTATGTTGTAACGCGATCCTTCAGCTCAGACGCTGTAGAGGCCATGTTTTCACATGTAAGACTGAAAGGTGGTTCTAATGATGCCACAGATGCCAGAGCTGCAGATTATGCATTAAGGCAAATTCTTCGTTGTGGGATTGTTAAAGCTTCCCATTCCTCAAACACTGCTGAAAATGTTAACTATATTAGTCCTGCAAATATTTTAAATTTACAAGAAAACAGAGAGAGCTTTACTAAGCACACAGAACAACTCATATTTCCAATTGAAGTACGAAGAAATATTCACAATCTTAAGAAGTGCATCATACCTGATAATAATATTTTCTCAGCATCAGTAGCTTTCTTGGCAGGATACATAATAAAAAAATTAGAAAATTTATTTCATTGTGATGAATGTTTAACACCTCTATTATGTACTAGCATTCCAGGTCCTTTACTACAACTGATTGCCATTCAAAACCGAGGAGGTTTAGTCTATCCCAAAGATATCTTTGTTGGTATTATTCAGCAGATAGCTGAAAGCATCCAGCAAATGTTGCCATTTCTACAACATGATAATCCTGGTAAATACATACTTGAAGAACTGTATCCACACCTTGTGCAAAATCCCATTTTTGTCTGTGCAAATCACAGGGATTCTGTGTGCAAATATATAATCAAAACGACTGTAAAGCCAGTTCTCAGCAATCTTTGCTTGGAGACCACAGATTCTGTCAAGAGATTTGCATTAAATTTTAAACCTAAAAGTCGAAAAGTATTGAAATTGTAACTTTACGTTAATATTATTGTTTTACTTACTGTGTTTTGTGATAAAATAAAAAAAAACCTTATTATCTGAACCAAACTGCTTTTTTTTATGCTTCGAGTAAAATTTGTTGTCAATGTCAGTTTCAATTCCACAATTAATTTGACAGAAATAGCACGAGATCTGTCGTTTGAGGGCGCCACAATATGCACTAGGAGGCGGAACATTTTTTCTAATGGAAAATCAAAAATTGAAACGGCCGTATATACACGTTAGTGTATATTAATGAAGTCGGCCATGCTAAAAGGTAGACTTACACAGCTGCAGCATTGAGAATTTTTCTATCTTCCTCTCGGGCTCAGCAAATTCTTCTAAGTTCGGATTTCTTCAAAATTCAGCAAAATTAATAAAAATTTCGACGAACGATTCGGCAGAGCCTTCGGCCACAACTGGAAACTTCTACTTAAACCGTTTTCGGCGCTACTGCTTATATAGGGATTTTTACTCATTATTCTTGTCTCCCGTGACTTTAGTGGACTATATTTCTTCATGATTAGTGTATTACTCGGTACTGGATTTTAGGTTTTATTTCGTTGTGTTATAGGGTTTAGCTTTTAATTATGGTTCCGCGACTGACGTTTTTTATTGGTTAGTGTGTCGTATATTTTCGGGTTTTTTCAACTTGCGTCATGCTTTTCATGTCGTCATCGCTACATGTGGTTAGCTTGTTGTAGCTATTTTTAAAGAGGGCGTTTTTTTTTTGAGGTTGTTTATGTGTCTGGGTTTCGTTTGCAGCTGTTTTAGTTTGGATACAATTTTAGATGAAAGTAATTGCGATTGGCGATGTTTCTGGCGTATTATTTTGTACAAGTTATTTGCAATGTCTGGCAAGCGCAATGTTATTCGCAATTTGCGAATACGCGAATTTTGTTCCTGCATTTGGGGATTGATAGTTGATTTTGTTTATCTATTTGAATGGTACTATATGCAGATTAGAACATGCGTGTTAATTAATTAAGATTTGTAAATTTTCTAGTTATGTTTTGAGGGTTTGTTATTAGTCTTTTTAGTTACAATTTTCTCGTGAACGAATTTAGTGACGGCTCGTCACACCTCAAATATGGCCAGAAAACATAATGGTTGAGAGATACAGATTTTTTCTAAAATACTACAAAAAAAAACGGCATTTTCTAATAAAAATAAACTACTAAATATTAATATTCAATCCCTTCAACAAAAAACAGACTTGTTAAACTATGAAATGATGCAACACAATATTGACATAGCCATTGTTACTGAACATTGGTTTAGTATATACCAACAAAATGACAGCCCTAAAGTTCTCTGGGCACAAAGTTAGCACCCATTTTTGTAGATGTCGTTATATTCATGGTGGTGTGCTAATTTTAATAAAGGACAATTTAAGAGCAACTGAAATCACACAAATAACAGAAATATCTGAAGAAAAAAACGCGGAACTAACCGCCATCAGAATTGATTCTAACAAATTTGTAATATTAGCCGCCTACAGATCACAATCTGGAAACTTAAATGTTTTTCCAAAGGCACTAAACGATGCTTTAGACATAATTAGTGAATTATATTCATATGACAATATCTAAGTATATAGCGGGGGATTTTAATGTCGATTTTTTAAAGGACAGTTCCGAAAAAAGAACTCTTGCAGAATTACTGGAAACATTTGGACTGCAACCCCAATTCAGCGAACCTTATAGAGTTACAAAAACAACAGCAACTTGTATCGACAATATATTTGGTAAAGAAAATAAAGACTACACTTGTACAACCTTGAATTGGTTCATGTCGGATCACCAGCAACAGCTTATGGTTGTTGAGAATAACATTCAAGAAACTAAAAGTAAGAAACAAAGAATAAAAGTTAGGAATATACGAAAAGAGAATATTTACCGTTTCAAGTCCTATCTGTCTAAGCTAGATTGGAGTCATCTCTTATCTCAAAAACATTTAATAAATGCTGGCATTCGCAAGAATTAATGGATATGAAAAAAAACTTGGAAGCATTACATGTAATCGTTACTTCCCAAAGGGGAAAAGTATACTACAACAGCTACAAACAAATTTATTTAAGAAAAATTCAAGAAAAGAAAATACGTTTCTAATCAATAGTCGATCAAATAAAACAAGAAAAATATGGGAAATCATCAAAGGTGATAACAAAGCGAGAACCAAAGAACACTCAAACTTAAATGCCGAAGGTTTTAATACATACTTTGCGACAGTGGCTGAAACAACCATTAAAAACATGAAAAAAATGGGGCAGCATCCCCTAGATCTACTTAAAAAACAAAAAGTTAATAGTACTCATTCCATGTTTCTGAACCCTGTAAGTGAAGAAGAAATAAGGAAAATCATCATGTCGTTAAAGTCAAAAACTACAAGAGACATCTATGATGTTTCGACATATCTAATAAAAATGGTAGTGAACGAGATAGTTCCACCGTTAACTATGCTTATCAATCAGTGTTTTGTTGAAGGGTACTTTCCTAATGAACTAAAGACTGCAAAAATTATCCCTATTCCAAAAAAGAACAACGATAACACGTCTTACGATAGTTACCGACCAATATCTATTCTTCCCACTATGTCTAAAGTATTTGAAATAGCTATCAATAAAAGACTAATGAAATACTTCGAAAAAAATGCTATCTTCTGTGATGAACAAAATGGATACAGGAAGGAACGGTCCACAAGTACTGCAGTACTAAATATAATGAACGCAGTAATATCAGCCTTAGATAACAAAGAAACGGTGGAACTAGTAGCGTGTGATTTGAGCAAGGCATTTGATACAGTACCGAATAGTATACTTCTACAGAAATTACACTGGTATGGAGTGAGAGAAAATGCTCTACAACTCTTAGAATCATACCTCCAAGGACGTCGACAAATAGTACGATGGGGAGATAAAAGTTCTCAAAAGGTTCCTGTAACCTGTGGCGTGCCGCAAGGGTCTATGGTTGGGCCAACCATGTTTATGTGTATGTAAACGATTTATTAAAAAACGTAAACTGTGACTCAGCATCGCTCTACGCAGACGATACCTCATTCATTATTAAAGCAGCGAGCGAAGAAAAAAGACTATTAAAGAAAAACACTGTCATAAAAGAAGCAGGAAATTGGTTCAATAACATCAGACTGGAGTTAAACGAAAACGAAATACAATCTCTTACGTTTTCAACCACTACATTCAACTCATCCATCAAATTTCTGGGACTACAAATCCAAGAAAAATTTGAGATGGAATACACATATAAGTGAAATGGCAAACAAACTCGCAACAGCTTTATATAGCATCCGAAGAATAAAGACAATAGCAACTCACCAAGCGGTCAAAATTGTATACAACGCCAACTTCCATGCAATAGCTACATATTGTATATTATTATGGGGAGCAAATACTGAGGCTATGAAACGGGTCTTCCTCCTGCAAAAAAAAAGCTATTAGAATCATGAACACTCTTACCTCTTACAGTTACTCAACAAAATGTACATTACTGGGGAGCAAAACTCTACAATAAAACCCCCGATTGCTGGAAGAAAACAACTTTAAAGGAATTGGAGAGTAAACTGAAGATATTTTTATTGACCATCGTACCCTATACGGTAGAAGGGTTCCTGTGTAGTGGAATTCAATAGAGGTTTTAGTTTATTTTTAATTATATTTTAATTTGTGTGTGATTGTAATACATACATTTTGTGTAATATATGACGTTGCCGAGTAACAGAATTGATGGCGAATATATATGTTATGTTATGTTAAAAAAAAATTATACTTAACGAATGTTACAGGAATTAATTCATTAATTCATTAGAGCAGGCGGCACTTTTTATACAGGGGTCATTTTGGTGCGCTGGTAAATAAGGCGCGGGCAATTAGCGATGGTTGAAGTCATTAAAAAGCCTAGTCGAGTTTAATCTCTACATGTCCGATTTTTCTCAAAAAAAAATTCCGCCTAATCATTCTACGCTTCCGTACCACTCTGTGATGAAACACAGAAAGCGAAATTTTAGTATTTTGAAACTAAATTTAAAAACATATAAAAATTGGTCGAAGATTACTTCGACACGACTTCCCTCGCTACTAAAGCAGAACCCAATAAATCCCGTTATTTTGAAAAATAAAAAATTAATTTGATTTTCCAAACATTTATTTATGATGACCTCTACACATTAAAATAAAAATAAGTAATAAAAGTAATAGTTTAAAAACCTAAATGACATTTTATAAATGTGTTTTAACACTTTATAATTTTTGAATTCCCGACCATAAAATAAAGATAAGGAAGTATAGTAATCGAGTTCATCGGACAAATGGCTTCTTTTATGTTTTCTCGCAGTTCCATGGCCCCTACAATACGAAAAAGTAATCTCTCGTTTCTGTCTGTCTAGCTGTCTGTCTGTTTGTCTGCCTATGTGTTTGGTGTCTGTATCCATTTTTATTAGACACTTAATCTCGGAAACTGCTGAACTGATTGTTGTCAAATTTTGGCTAATCATCCCCACCAACAATTTGATAACGTCATCTCAATGATTTGTATTTTAAAATGATCTGAATGTTATACAAAAATATACTCCTATACTTGTAGTGCACAAATCCGTTTTCAGTTTTTTCGCTAGACGTTCAAATTTTCTCAAAAACATTTGCAAGATATAATAACGCTTATATTGTTTATAATTCGTCTGGATTGACCATACCAGAAACGGATTATCAATTGCTCCAAAAATATGAATACGTTGATATAGGTAGGGTCTATAGGTGCAAGTCGGTAAAAACTTTTTAATTGCAAATTTCCATAGTAATGAGTTAAATTCGTAAATCTAATTGGGTATTTAGTTTTATCAACCTTTAAATTGTAACACATTTTCATACAGAATTGGAGGTTTTTGCATAAATAAAATGATTGTTATCAATCATTACACATAATTATATTTTTTCAAAATAAGGTATGTACCTAGTTTATTTGCTTATTACCAGTAAGTATGGATGTTAAATACATAGTCACTGTTATTACTAACGTAATCAAGTAGCAAGGTTAAGGTATTAAATTGGGTATTCTAACTCAAAACTTAGAAAGAACTTTGCTTTATTTCAGGAACATGCAGCAGGTAACCCTCAGTGGCAGAATGACAATTGACAACCGGTAATAACAACCGATATCGATAATCAAAAAAACAATCTCTAGGCTTTTGCTGACAATTTTTCGGTTTCAGGCCGTTACATAGAGGAAAGTAGTGTTGCGGTCCGGAGGTACAGGGTTTCTATAAATGATTATAAAGTCGAAGTAGGTCGTGGAAATGTGGCACCGCCCACTTTATATGTATAGACTTTACTAAATGCCCAAGGACTTACGATAAATACCACACGCAGTTGTATAATTGGTTGCTTAAATGCTTCATAACTTATTAAAAAATAAATCTAATTCATTACAATAAAAAGAAATAAATTTATTGCAATTGAACATAACAGTAAATGTTGAAAATGTTCATTGTTTTGGCATATGTTCACTATATTTTTAATTTCAAAATGTTCTGTAACATTGTTTCGTCAATACTTTGGACACATTGTTCAATTTCATATTGCAACAGGAACTCCTGACCGCTGAGGAATTCTTGTCAAAGATGTTTCGAATTTTGCTCAGGTCGTCTAAAATCACAAACAACTTCCTCAGATAATGAAGGTCTTCTAGGAGATTTCCCTTTGGCGACACTGCCAGTTCGAACAAATCTGTTGATTCACTATGCAACAAATTAAAAAAAAATAAAATTCACAGAATGCACAGTATGTAGTTAAAATTTCTTACCTCAAACTCAATTGAGGATTGTGCTTGAAACAGTCGCATCACATCAGGTTTCAAAGTGAAAAGTGTTTATTGAATTTTTTGAAATCATACAAAATTAATAAAACAATACTTCATTTTTCATTGAAAAAGGTCTTTTTTTTTCGAACGATTGGCATTCCTATTGTAGCCAGATCTCGCAGTATCCCTCTGAAGACACCAACAGAAGTCTGCAAGCATGGGTGGATATTTTTA